CTCTGGGGGGTCCGGGGTCTGCGAGGACTGGGGGGGCTCTGGGGGTCCGGGGTCTGCGAGGACTGGGGGGGGCTCTGGGTGTCCAGGGTCTGCGAGGGCCGTGGGCTGGAAGGGTAGGGCCATGGAGTCTGCAGGGGCCGGGATTCTGTGGGGGACTGGGGACAGCAGGGATACTGGGGGTGGGAGGAGGGGTCTTCAAGGGCTGAGGGATCAGGGGCTGCTGGGGAGACCCGGAGGGTCCTGGGGGGGCTGCTGCAGTGTCACAGAGGCTAGGGTGAAGGGGTGGGGACTGCGGTTGCCCCAGGAGCTTGGGGAGGCCAGGGGTGCCAGGGTAGTTATGGGCAGCGTGAGCAGAGGAGGAAACCGCGGAGGTCAGACCCCGGGGCCAGGGGCAGCTGGGATGGGTTGGAGGGCATAGGGGCTGTGGGCTTGTCCCGGGGTGGCCTGGGGTACTAGGGGTAGCTGAGGGCATGGGGACCATGCTGGGGAGACAGGTAGCCAGGCCACCGGGGGATACTGCCCCGAGTCCGGCTCAGGCTCCCGTGTGGCCCTCGGCATCCTGGGGGGAGGTCTTGGGTCTCAGCCAGTGCCAGAGCTGCTCAACCCCCTAGACCAGGCCGGGGGGCTCGTATGACCTGCACCAGCCCCCAGTCTGGGGGGGGCCCTCTCATCCCCTAGACTGGGCCGGGGGGCTCTTCTGCCCTGCACCAGCCCCCAGTCTGGGGGGGGCCCTCTCATCCCCTAGACTGGGCCGGGGGGCTCTTCTGCCCTGCACCAGCCCCCTGTCTGGGGCCCCCCCATCCCCTAGACCAGGCTGGGGGGCTTTTCTGCCCTGCACCAGCCCCTTATGTTGAGGGCCCCCTTCATCTCCTAGACCAGGCGGGGGCTCTTCTGCCCTGCACCAGCCCCCTGTGTGGGGGTGTCTCCCGAGGCTGAGCTTCAGGGCATGATGGGAAGCCTCCCAGCAGCAGGTGGGTGGGTGGGGGAGGCAGCCACCTGTTTGGGTTCCTGCCCTGGCGCTGGGCTTTCCGGAAGTGCACCCTCGTCAGACCAGTAGGAGAGTCTTGCCTTAGAGAAGGCGGAGGAGGACAGGTACAGACGGGGAGCCCTGACTTTGCAAGAGCCCTTCTACTGTCTTTACGGTGGATGCATAGGCTACGTGAGCCCACAGTGGAGTTGTTCACGTTGACGTTTTGGCCAGAAACTTCCTTCCTGTTTCCTTAGGGCCGCCTCCTCCGCAAACTCCCCTGGAGTCTGGAGCTGAGCTCCTTCCTGTCCAGAGGCTTCTGGCCTGCAGCCTCCTGGGGAGCTGGGCACCCCTCTCCTGCCTCTCCCCCCTGCACGGGAGTGGGAGCCGTGGGCTGTGCTCGCTCCACGGCCCTGGGCGCGCTGCCCCTGGCGATCGGGTGCGGCTCGGCGCCCACGGAGCCTGGGGCACGACGCTCCACCTCGTAAAAGTTTTCATCAGCCCCATTTTCTTTTCTCTTTGACCCAGAAAATGCCCGCACAAAACATGACCTCGGCAGGCGGTGGTGTTCAGTGAGCTAGAGACCCTTTTCTGTGGCGTGGCAGAGAGCACACTGGTTTGTCCTGTGCCGGACGGTGCTCTGCGGCGCCCGCCCTGACCGTCCGTGTCTGTGTTCCAGGCCCAAGGCCCCAGCAATGGCAGCGGCTACCATAGTGCACGACACGTCGGAGGCGGTGGAGCTCTGCCCGCCGTACGGCCTGTACCTGAAGCCCATCACCAAGATGACCATCAGCGTGGCGCTCCCGCAGCTGAAGCAGCCCGGGAAGTCCATCTCCAACTGGGAGGTGATGGAGAGGCTGAAGGGCATGGTGCACAGTCACCAGTTCTCCACGCTGCGCATCTCCAAGAGCACCATGGACTTCATCCGCTTCGAGGGTGAGGTGGAGAACAAGAGCCTGGTCAAGTCCTTCCTGGCCTGCCTGGACGGCAAGACCATCAAGCTCAGCGGCTTCTCCGACATCCTCAAGGTGCGCGCCGCCGAGTTCAAGATCGATTTCCCCACCCGCCACGACTGGGACTCTTTCTTCCGCGACGCCAAGGACATGAACGAGACGCTGCCGGGGGAGCGGCCAGACACCATCCACCTGGAGGGCCTGCCCTGCAAGTGGTTCGCCCTCAAGGAGTCGGGCTCCGAGAAGCCCAGTGAGGAGGTTCTGGTCAAGGTGTTCGAGAAGTTCGGGGAGATCCGCAACGTGGACATCCCCATGCTGGACCCCTATCGGGAGGAGATGACTGGCCGCAACTTCCACACCTTCAGTTTCGGGGGACACTTGAACTTCGAGGCCTACGTGCAGTACCGCGAGTACGTGGGCTTCATACAGGCCATGAGCGCCCTGCGCGGGATGAAGCTCATGTACAAGGGTGAGGACGGCAAGGCCGTGGCCTGCAACATCAAGGTGAGCCCCCGCCCGGCCGCCTGCTCTGGCCCGTTTCAGAGTCGGGCGCAGGCCCCTTCAGGTGGTTTGGCGGCCACGGGACAGCTGGCCGCCCTCGTTCGCGGAGCAGAGGCCCCATCGCGGCCGGCCTGGTGGCCTCGGTCCAGGGGGACGGCGGGGCCCTGGTAGCGGGAGGGGACACACCGTCTCGGAAAAGGTGACGTTCTCCCTTCCAGACAAACGGTGCAGGCCGGCCGTGTCTGTTGGTGCGCGCTCCCCGCTTGAATCGCCAGGGCAGCTCACGGTTGAGCCCGGAAGTGGCTGTGTGTGTCCAGATGTGCCCGTGGGATCCGGGCCCCGTGTCCTGGGCGGGCCGCACTCGAGTGCGGGGTTCTCTGGAATGCACGCGTTCCGTGCAGTCGGGCAGAGCCTGCCGCCTAGCGGGTGTCGCCTTGGTCGGAAGCGCGCTTGTGCGTAACTGCTCTGCGCTCTGTTTTCCCCGGAAGGTTTCCTTTGACTCCACCAAACACCTGAGCGACGCCTCCATTAAGAAACGGCAGCTCGAGAGGCAGAAGCTTCAGGAGCTGGAACAGCAGAGAGAAGAACAAAAGCGCCGAGAGAAGGAGGCCGAGGAGAGGCAGCGAGCGGAGGAACGGTAGGTGTGCAGACGCGGGGGCTCCTCACGGCCCGCTGGACGCCTGGGCACGCATGTGTGTCTGGGTGCTCATGTGTCTGGGTGCATGTGTGCATCTGTGTGCGCCTGCGTCTGTGCGCGCGCGTGCGTCGGTGCGCGCGTCTGGGTGCGCGTGTGCGTCTGGGTGCGCGTGCGTCTGGGTGCGCGTGCGTCCGGGTGCATGTGTGCATCTGTGTGCATCTGTGTGCATCTGTGTGCGCGTGCGTCTGTGCGCGCGCGTGCGTCGGTGTGCGCGCGTCTGGGTGCGCGTGCGTCTGGGTGCGCGTGCGTCTGGGTGCTCATGTGTCCGGGTGCATGTGTGCGTCTGTGTGCACGTGCGTCTGTGCGCGCGCGTGCGTCTGGATGCGCGCGCGTCTGTGTGCGCGTGCACGCGCCCCCGGAGGCCTGGGCCGCGCCTCCTGTGCCCTGGCCGTCGTGCGTTCAGCGCGGAGCTCTGTTAGGCACCTGGACCGGACCCCTGACAAAATCGGCCGCGTTCCAGTAGAAACGGTTTCCGTTTACAGGCGGTCGTCGATTGCCTTTCGGGTCGTTCGGGGGCACGCCGGGTCACCGTTCTTGCCCCCGTCGCTCTTCTGCCTGCCCCCTGCTGCTGGGGGCACCTGCCCCTCCCACGCAGAGGCGAAGGCGACCCTGGACTTAGAGTTTGCTGCAGAGTCCGGTTGTGGGGCAGCGGGTCCAGACCGCGTGCGTCGTTCCTGACCCAGCTCCGCGTTGTTCCCCGAGGAGGGGCGGCCGGCCGGCGCGTGCAGCCGGGCCGTGTGTGGGGCCGTGGCTGGGGCGGTGGCTGGGG